CTTCAGCATCCCAGAGTCTATGTCTGTCTATAGGACAGAAATGATCTTATCTCTCTTCAGACTATTCTAAGAGTACTAGCAAATACTTGAAAGGACCATGCAAATGAGTATAGTTATGTTATTAATACTGTGAGATATTTTAGATAAATTTAGAACAATATGTGAGATTTTCTGCTTATGGTATATGAGTCTTAAAACCTTCCAATACTGTGCTATTATGAATGACAGTATCTCTGCATCTGAATACTTGTCGTAAGAATACACTAATTACAAGAGATAATTAAGTCTGACAACATTCTCCCTGGAGTTTTGGAAAGTTTTTCAGCTCTCTATGTTTATGTTTCTAACTTTGTTATAAATATTTGATCTCTCCCTAGCTCACCCAAATAATGATTTAAATTGTCTTCACGTGCTAATGACTGGCCCTTTGGAAGATGTTTCTGAAGCTTAAAATGTAAACAAATATTTAGAGCATAACAAAGACCCACAAGAAACTCTGGCCTGTTTTATATGTTTTTTCTATGATTTAGCCTGAATCTTTGGACAAGAGAGTGAGAATATTCTAAATAGGCTCATCTATTGGCTTTACCAGAGGAACAAACTACAGGTGAGTAGAAACCTGAAAAAAACAACAGGAGCACACCCCATGCTATCTTGTTCTCACCTTTGTCCCCTCACTGCATCCTGACAGTACAAAGAATGAAGAAAGTTGCCTTCAGAACATGATGCAAAACGGTTGTTAAGGAACAGACCCAACTCTAACCAGGAAAGAAAACTACTCTTCAGGCTCAGGACTGTATCATATTCTGTCTTTTTGTTTTGAAAATCTCAAGTTATGGATAAGCTATCAGCTTAGATGCTTTAGGAGGAGACATCAATTTTTTCCTCACATATGGAGCTTTCTTCAATTGGTGTCATAGAGATTTGTATTTCAGAACACTCGGTATCATCCACAGGAAAGCTCTTTGGTAAGAATTGATGTCATTTAAAGAAGAGGACAGACAAAGAAGCTCTTTGTTTATTCTAAACTCAAGTTTCATTTCTTTTCCTGCATCACTTTCGCCTCTTTAAAAGCATTCATTTTTGCTTTATCCCCTACCTTTTCAGCAAACAGAATAAATCCTGGGCTCCCTTGACTAGAACCTAGAGACCTTGTGGAACAGGTATTATCTCTTTTCTTCAGTAGCCAAGTAACTTGAACACAATTAGTACACCCACAATCTGATGAAATTTTTTTTTCCGTTCTAGATTTATGAAACTACAATACAACAATTTGATTATATCTCTGTCCACAATGCCTGAAAAACAATTTTTGAATAGTTGAGATATATCATTTATATGGGTCACAATGACTATTTGTTTCAAATTATGACAAAAATATGATTCCTATATCTGAATGTGAATGGATTCATATTATATAGAATCTTTTGTAAATATGAATAAACATAAACTACCTCTTCTAAAAACACTTTCTGGCTTTCTCTGAGCCAGGATTATTGTAATTAAAGCCTCTTTATTCTTGTTTATTATTTGCCAAGGAACATTACTTTGGGTCTGAGACTCTTAACTGCAACTAATTATGACCCAAGGAAGAATCAAATGTGTTTTAAATTCCTACACTCTACCATAAATTCAGCATAAGTGATCACATCAAAGCTTAGCCCAGGCTAATGAGCCTCTGTTAGTGCCATATGTGAGCACACAAGGCTGGGAGAAGCTGGAAATTCAGCCCACTGCCATGCAGTGGTGGCTGCGTCTTTTACACACATACACATTGATGTGACAACTTATGATGTCATGGAGACACTGGGGCCCTATATGAAAACTAGGGGCATTTTTCTACCCACTGAGAAGTGTCCTGATGGACTTGCTACTTCTCATGGCATAGTGGGGCTAGAGCTGGGTAAGAAGACAAGGATAACCTTTCTCTTAAAAGAAAAAAAAAAAAGAATAGAGTAGCCCTGGATAACAAAAGAATTAGGTTCCTATGATGCCCAGGGCACTGGACCCTGAACTTAACCTATAAGTTTTTTTCTTACCCAGGTTTCTGGAGAAGTGACTTTCACACTAAATAGTGAAAGAGACCAGAAAACCCAGACAGAAGAAGAAGGCAGGTTTTGTAACGAATGGCATTTGTTGGTTTAATAACTCAGTATCAGCCAGGACCTAGCTGTGAAGGCTCCAACAAAGCTTTTGCCTGACCTTCAAGCTAAAATGAGGTAGATACACCTGGTCTGCATTTATAGAGTTGAGCTGAAAACTCATAGGTAATAGGCAAATTGTCTTTCTCTAAGAAAATAAAATTTTCTGGTATCAAGTTGACCTAAAATGAACTATGTCTCTATTATCTCAAGAAAATGAATTTTAAGTCCTGTTTTTTACACATCAAAAAGGGAAGAGATGATTGCCCTGAAGGGTGAGAGCAGAGTGAGTGCTCCCAGCTGGGTGCTGATGAGAGAGGGACCGTTCTTTAGAACGCCCCACATTAATCTTTCTCTAGTGCTTTCACACTTAATGTTCCCTGGTCAAACTCCGGTAGCTCCCAATTACCTCCAGAACAAATTATAATTCCTTAACATTACATTTAACATACCTCACAAGTTTGCAAGTCAGCATTCCTTCCCTTACCTGCCTGAATGTTGTACCTCTGCTGTACATTGTCTCTTCTCTAGATGCCCTACGGACCCAATGGCCTCAGTCAATGGCCTAAGACTGTGCTTCTCAGCTCATGGGGACCATGTGATGAAATCCTTTGATAATTCTTTCTCCTTACCACTCCTTGAAATATGTCTGTACTTACTCACTGAGCAATCCAGAAGCTTTCTGGGAAAAGTAAATGGTTTCCTACAAACATTCCTCACCATAGAGCATTGCTGTGGTGCTTTTACCAACGACCATATTGTGCTCCAGCACTCCACACAGTCAAATGGATTCTTTTTTTTTTTTTTTTAAAGGAAAGACCAGCATCCTCCAAAGAGAGAAATTCAAAACGGCTCACAAATTCTGCTATAAAGCAAGGTGCAACACTCCATTGTAAGAAACAGAAAGGTCAGTGGGGAGCAACCCCTTGATTCTTCTACCGCGTCTGCTTGTATACTCTATGAGCGTGGCAGCTTATTACCAGGAGGGGGCGCTAAGTCAAAAGAAGACAGGTTCTCCTGGGGACCGCTCACTGAGTGAAGCCTAGTGACTGAGACTAAAACAACCAAGTTCACCTGCCTCCGATTAGACCACAGACTCGGGCAAGCACTGCCTCTCACTGACTCTGAGACCTGCTTTTCATTCTCCCTTATTACTGACCAATCCTCCACTGTATGACTTTTTTCTTTAGCTAGATTACAAATTGTAGTTTTAAAAACATCTATTCTAGACGGCTTTTGATTTACTCCTTTTCTTTTAATGCGTTTCCTTCTCTTCCAATCCATTATTTATTGTTTTTATGGTGCAGGCAAGTTTCTCCCATTTTTACATTTATAACAGTCTCTTCCACTAAAACTGCATTTTTGTCAGTGCTCCTTAAAATATGACCTCTATGTATGTCTCCTTTGCTCTTTCATGTGGTCTTTTCTGTCTGTGCCTTTCTGACTTGGGCTTTTGCTGACCTCTGTATTTTATTTTCTACTCTATGAAGTGTTTTCCATGTTCTTTTAAAAGCCTCCTATCCTTACTAATATTCTCTGATTCCATTAGTGTTTCTCCTCAAACTCACAATTTCTTTAGATTTATCTCTAAAAGTACAAGGATGCTGGTGAAATACTACTTTAATTCCCGTGTTTTATTATGCTCTATAAATCATAAATCACTTTTGACAGTTTTTCAGCATCTGTTTATGTTGTTGTAGATGTTAGGTTCACTTGCTTCCAATTTTTGTAAACCTTTGCAGGTGCAGATTCATGTGACAGAGGTGTTACAGAGATCATGAACATCTGAGCTCTAGCTTCCTTTGACCATAGGCAATGCCATGATCAATTCCATCAAGCCAACTTTCCCAAAGAACTTAGCTAGGATGGGCTCCCAGGGCTGGGCACTCGATCCTATCCAGCTTCTGTTGGTTTTCTTTGTGTGACACACACACACACACACACACACACACACACACACACACACACACACACACACATGCATGCCATGGTGTCCTTGTAGAGGTAAGAGGACCACTTGCAGGAGTTGGTACTCTACTTTTACCCTGCAGGTCCCAGCTGTGGAACCCAGGTCGTCAGGCTTGGTGACAAGCACCACTGAGCCACCTCACTGGCCCCCTATCCAATTTTTTTTTGATTTTTCAAGACAGGGTTTCTCTGTGTAGCTTTGCGCCTTTCCTGGAACTTGCTTTGGAGACCAGGCTGACCTCGAACTCACAGAGATCGGCCTGCCTCTGCCTCCTGAGTGCTGGGATTAAAGGCGTGCACCACCACCACCCGGCTGCAATTTTAATGCCGAAAAAAGTCTTTCAAGTAAACTAGTGTATCCTCCTACTGTAATTCTACCTGACCCCAGGCTTGTGTTTATTTGATATGTCTGTTGAAATGATCATATTTGAACACTTGAACACTTTTCAGATGTACTACAGTATTTCTATAAGATACTGATTCTGAACATTTAGTAAGTCAGAAAAGTGACCTCCTGATTTCCAGCCTGGGTGACAGACAAACATACAGCATCTAAAAGAAAACAGTAGTAATGGAAAGAAAGAAAAGGTGACAGTGATACCCACTAGTTTATTTGGTTAATATCCATTAATAACTACAATTAACTGAGACAAAATATTGCATTATAGACAATTAATTCCCAACATTTATGCACCAAATTCAGACTATTAATCACTCATTTCCAGCCAATTAAATCAGAATTTGCAGACATGGCAATAAAACTGTTTGGGATCAAACGATTTGCTCTCTTAATGGAGAAAAGTCAGGTAGGTATTCCTTATTCAAGGCCTAGATTTGTGATGAGGAACTTTAATATATAAACAACAAAATGAACTCAGCAGATAGTTTATATATATATATGTATATATATCACATATAATCAAAGAAAAAAGTCTATCAACTTGAGAGTGAGGAGGGTAGCTGGGAGGGGCTGGAGAAAGTAAATGGATGAGGGAGTGAAGTAATTCTATTTCAATTAAAATATTTTAAAATGAAAAATTATTAATTAAAATTAATAGTATTGAAAAATATCTCCCCCATTATACTGTGACAGCTTAATACACACCAGAAGCAACAAAGACTATGATTATTTTTTGAAGGGGCTCTTATAAATTTCCATTAATAGATTTCTTTCTATTATTCCCAGAGTTCTGCTGGAGGACAGGCATATTCATATGGAGAGAGCCAATGATTCCATGTTAACAGAATTTATCTTGGTGGGACTTTCTGACCACCCAAAGCTCCAGAAAGTTTTATTTGTGCTAGTTTTGTGCGTGTATCTGATAATCCTGCTTGGAAATGGAGTCATTATCTCAGTAGTTATCTATGATGTGCACCTGCACACCCCCATGTATTTCTTCCTCTGTAACCTTTCCTTCCTGGATATCTGCTATACAAGCTCTTCTGTCCCACTAATTCTCGGTAGTTTTCTGACAGGAAGGAAGAGAATTTCTTTTCCTGAGTGCATGGTACAAATGTTCCTCTCCTTTGCCATGGGTGCCACAGAATGCGTGCTTCTAGGCACAATGGCACTTGACCGCTTTCTGGCCATCTGTTACCCACTGAGATACCCTGTCATCATGAGCAAGAGTACTTATGTGCCCATGGCAGTTGGATGCTGGGTTTCTGGGCTTGTTGACTCGTTTGTGCAGACATCTCTTGCAGTGCAATTACCATTCTGTACTAATAATGTCATTCGCCACTTTGTCTGTGAAATGCTAGCCATTCTGAAACTGGCTTGTGCAGATATTTCCATCAATGTGATTAGCATGGCAGGGTCAAATCTGCTTTTTCTAGCTGTTCCATTGTTAGTCATTGCTATCTCTTACGTTTTCATTGTTGCCACTATTCTGAGGATCCCGTCAACTGAAGGAAAACAGAAGGCCTTCTCCACATGCTCTGCCCATCTGACAGTGGTGATTCTGTTCTATGGAACCATCTTCTTCATGTACGCAAAGCCCAAGTCTGAAGTCACTGCTGGGACAGGGCATCAAAGTGTGATCGAGGCCCTCATCTCCCTCTTCTATGGGGTGATGACCCCCATGCTCAATCCTCTCATCTACAGTCTGAGGAACAAAGATGTGAAGGCTGCTGTGAGAAACATGCTGGGAGGAGAACGTCTGATAAAACAGAAATGATTACTTAGACTGTGTGACTTGATATTTGAAGTTGTTATAAACACAAAATCTATACAGATCAAAGTGCCACATGAAAATCTGAAACCATTAAAATATTTTGGTTGCTTTTGTTACAGTTAGGTTTTTGTTATACATGTAGAAATGAGACATATTGAAATTTGTAAAATTCACTATTATAGAAATGCAAGAATGCTGAAAACATTTTAGTAATTACTCAGCAAGGAAAAATAAACTCAAACATTTAGAAAATAATAGGTAAAATGTTTTAAGAAATGCATTTATTTAAAATTCTTAAAAGCAGTCCATAGTCTGTTATAGGTGCACTGTTATAGGTACAGTGAATATTAACAGGTACATTCACTTTATTTATCCACTTATTTATTATTTGTATTCAACATGCATATAAATCACCTGATGATAGAATCTTATCTGTTCTTTAGCCTACAATAACCCAACTTATAATAGGGTTTGAAACATAATAAATGCTAAATATTTTAAAATAAATGCATGAATCACCTGATGTATGATATTAGAAATGTATTTCTGTCATACCCCAAACAGCAAAATTTACTAAAAGAGAAAATTGATAAGATTAAATGTTTTAAATACATTATATATATTGGTGTATAGCTGGAGTTTTCTCCAGTCCTGCCTGGCCCACAGTCAAGACAAATCTCTCTCACCCGCCAGTCCCGCAGCCACTCAGACCCAACTGAGTAAACACACAGAGACTTATATTGCTTACAAACTGTATGGCCGTGGCAGGCTTCTTGTTATCTAGTTCTTCTATCTTAAATTAACCCATTTCTATAAATCTATACCTTGCCACACGGTTTGTGGCTTACCAGTATCTTACATGTTGGTACTCATGGCAGTGGCTGGCAGCGTGTCCTGACTCAGCTTTCCTGTTCCCAGAATTCTCTTCTCTGCTTGTCCTGCCTATACTTCCTGCCTGGCTACTGGCCAATCAGCATTTTATTTATACAGAGTGATACCCACAGCATTGGTGTTTTGTCACACAAGCATTATTTAATAGCTAAGGCATCACATTTTTTTTTGTCATGTTCATTATAACTGAGGGGACAGGGTTTTGCATCCCTGCAATGATAGCTTTTCTGAGACTTTGTTCATAGTGAGAACACAGAGATGGAAAAGTTCTAATACTGCATCCTGTGCTGAAACGTCTTCAACTTCAGGTGGCACTGTAGAGAGCATGCCTCTTGTATTTTGAGCTGAGTGCTGGCTGGAAGGAGGACCTCATCCTGCCCTGTGTGGGATCACCCACTCTGCTGTATGCAGCAACACAGCTACACAGAGCTGGTGACGGGAAAACTTGCCATTTGAGGATGCGTGGCCAAAGATCTTCAGCCAAGTTCTTCAATGAACTTGATTTGGGAGATTATGAATAAAAATGATGGTCCAAAATGGAAATTCTGCTTATTTGTTGAACAGTGCAATCATGTGGGCTAGCACCCATCTGATCTATGAAGACCCCACTTTCACTGAGGGAGTCATGCTTAATCAGTACCAAGGAGTACTACCTTATCTAACTCTGAGGAGCTGTGGTCATTGAATATGGAGTAAATGACTGCAGCTATTTGTTGTCAGAGAAAGCTCACAAAACTTTTCTTATTAATGGATTGTTACTTCACAAAGTAAAATGGGACAATTCAAAAAATGGCCTCATTAACTCATATTCCTTAGTTATTTGGTCAGAGTCTACATGTCACACATCAAACATGTCACAGAATCAGTAAGTAAACTTATTTTGAGTTAAACTGTAGCAGTTAAGATACTGTTACTGTGTCCTAACAATCCTAAACACACACACACACACACACACACACACACACACACACACACACACACACACACACACACACTACGGGGAGAAGTTACAAGCTGCAGCAAAGTTGGAAGAACTACAGGAATGCAATAGTAATAAAGTTGTCCCAATGGGAAACGCCAGTGTCATCCCATCAATGGGTCTTGAGCCTGGTGCTAATTAGGAGATGTGAGTCCAGAATTCTTGCATTGTGCCTGAACACTCTAATGGAGCAAAGTGGGTTTTCAGAATCGCTGTTTGGTCTGACAGGATGTACTCAGCACAATTGAACCTCAAATACATACTGTTACATCCTGGAAGCACAGACTTGAATATAACAGTTGTCAGGGAAACAGATAAGTTCCGTGTTCTAAACATGTCAATAGAGTGATTTCACAAAAGATGGGGTCAAGCAACTGCTTTTAGATGGAGCGTATTTTGCAGCTCTACCACCAGCTAATAAGGCTTCAGATAGGCGTCCATTTCTTGTTCCCACTAAACATAGATTTAAAGGCTCCTTGGGAAAACTAATCCTTACTTTTAATCATTCAAGGTTTAGACAAAAAATTAAGTATATAAAAATATACTGAATTAACTAACCACTTTATTGAGACTCCATGCACACTATTACCATAATCAAGGTAAGTAGGCCAAGCCTATTTTTGAAAACAACACTACATTAAAAGAAGTATGTTATTCACTATACAACTTTTAAAAAGACACTTCACCTTGCTTCTTTCTGTATGTTTTAAGGAGATATATCTATGTATAAAAACAGGTTGAAATTAAAAGATAGAAAATGCATGCTAGGCAAATTATTCAAACACTGGTATTTCTGTATTAATGACTAACAAATGGATTTATGACCAAATAAAAACTATTTCTAATAAAGGGATAGTTGCTTTATGACAGAAGGTGAATTTAATCAAAGAGATGTACAATTCTGAATGGTAGCTCTCCTAACAAAAGATTTTTAACAGGTTAAAAAATAAAATGGCCTTTACATTCTTCTCAAGTATTAGGACAATAAACAAAGATTTATAATGGTGTAAAATATTTGAGCAAATATAAATCCTATTCTGATTGAACACACATTTTTCTAAAGCCTATGTAGGATGTTTTTAAAAATTGATGTTATGACAAACTTTATGCATGACCAGCAATTTCAAAGAAATTATATTAGCCAGTCTGCACTTCTTATATTTTAGGCAATTTAAGGGTAATTAATGAAAGGATTCTTATAATCTGGTGCAGTTAAAACACATTTGTAAATAACTGAAGAGCAGTAGTATTAAAAATGTTCAATGATTCTCATCATGACAGTCAGAATGCATATCTACTATGAACATCTAATATGACCACGGGAATACATTCTAGCTAAATAGTGTCCTTTTTAATAGGTCAGAGAAAAAAGTTAAACATTTCAAACTTCAAATAAATAAAGCCTGTGATTTTAGCTACTTCTGTAACTGTATTTATTGTTTATATGGTAATTATACATAATCTTCATAAATTTTTTACCATTACTTCCTGTAAAATTAGCTATAATTCAATAATATTGAGTAATGTATAATAAATTATGCTAGATGCCCACATAGCCTTTTAGGAATATTCACATTTAAATTCTTAGCAGGAAGTTGATTTCAGGGAATAGAAGAGAGAAGAAAGGAAACAAAAGGAGGATGAGTAGAAAAAAAATCAGAGAATTTAAATTCAGAGGCAACATGCCAGGTATTGTAGAATATTCATATGATGCTATTTCTGATTAAATTTTCACAATAATATTGAGAGTTGTATGACCTCATTGTTAATTTACAGACAAAGATTCTAAGATGCACAGAGGTTAACACACTTGGATGCTTCAGCCGGGTTTCTATCTTCTTAGGTTGACAGGTCAGTTAGGAAATCTAAAGTCCAGGTATTTATTTGAATCAGGAAAATAACCTAAAGTATGTGAAATCATAGAAAATCTGAGGAGGAGAGGGAGAGTGAGCAGGAGCGGGAGAAGAGGGAAAGGGATGATTTTTAAAATGGATCCTAGAGATAATCTGTCAGGCTCTTATTAATGGCTTATTGCTATTTCATAGAGTAAAACTGAGCAGTTCAGAGAGGAACTTCATTAACCCAAATCCCCAGGTTATATGGTCAGAGACTACATGTTACTTGCCACACACCAAACACATGGCAGGATGAAACATGTACCTGTAACAGCAGCTGACCGATGGGTAGCACCATTTCTTGGTAAGGACTGTCAAAATCAAGAAACTGGGCTGCATGGAAGCAAGCAAGAACATGAACATGGATGCATTCACGTCTTTCTGTTCCTGACTCGGATGTAATGTCGTCAGCCATTTCAAGTTCATGCTCCGATGTCCCTGCTATGAGGGACTTTAGCATTGCTCTGTGAGTCAAAAGAAACCGTTTATTAAGTTGCTGCTTATTGTGGCAGAAATGAAACTAAGACAGTGCCCCCAATATAAATTTTCAACTTTCATACCTTATAGCTTTGATCTTGATTACTGATTAATAGTTATTGGAAGGTAGGAGAATGTCCTATCTGTATTTTACTATGGGTTTTCTTCAAAGCTGTTAACTTAACAATGTACAGGATGATGACCAAATATGGGCTGATTATGAAAGAAGTCATAAAACAGAAGTTTTCTCTGTTCATGAGCCTGCTACAGCATCTTCCTCCTGGGGATGTCACACACATGCTTGAACTCCTTCAAGGAGGTGGACTGTAAGCATTGTGACCAAGGGCTTTACTAAATGAGAAAAACACTGAATAAACCCAGGGACAAGGCTTTTCAGTGTGGCACTCTTAGGAAGAAGAGAAGATTGAAGAGTTTTTCACTTGTTAATAGAGGCAGAAACCCTTTATGTTATATCTGAATGTACAGTTTTAACCTGTGTAGATGAGATGATTGCACCCATACCTGCCTTGCTTAAATTCACCTTAAGCCTATGCAAATGATTTCTTTTTCTGAAACTTAATGTTCTCATTTATTTTGAGTATTAGGCATACTACTTTAGCAATCTGTGTTATGTAGACCTCCCCTCATGCCAGAGGATGATTTATTGAACAAACCCAGAACAAGAGATTAGGGGGAATTCAGTTGCTAACAGTAACAATGGATTTCCAGGACGAGGGAAACCAACTAGCACAGAACCACTGATTCTGGGTGCTCTGTTTGATGCTTCAGATAATATGAATCTTTGTGCAAATATAACGCACCATGACTTTCCAGTGTGTGAAAAATTCAATGCAGCCATTTCCAACCTCCTCACATTCTTTAGAAAAAGAAGTACAACTTTAAACAGGAGAAGCAAAGAGGCTTGCTAAGGGTTGGAAGAGAGGTATGGACATGCAGAAGGCACTCAAAAAACCTAAAAGGGAATACA